TAAAAACAGGAATAATGCCCAACGGGATGAAAATTAAATACTTTCTGGTGGCATCTTGTTGTGGACAGATTCAGAATATTTAATAGATATGTTCTTGTTAGGAGCATAACCAAATCAGTGGTGATAAGTAATGTTTTCAGAAGCCAGTCCATCACCTAGGATAGAAACTGCATTTCCACAAGGAATTCAGAAGCCCGCGCTGGCTGGAGATTGGGGGACTGGAGACGGTGCTGTCAGGGAGCAGCAGAGCAGGGCAGATCCTGGGGGGCACTGGCACCTCCCCCGGGTGGGTGATGGCAGGGCCAGCCAGGAGCAGGGCAGCCAGGGGCCACCGGGGCAGCCCCAGCACTGGGCACCTCCCTGGGGACAGGGCCAGGACATGGTCCCACGGGTGGGCCCGACTCTGTGGGGTGGTGTCACTGGGGCAGGGCCTGGTGGCCCCCGGGGGGCTGCAGTGAGGTCCTGGGCTGTGGGCAGGGTGGGGGAAGCCCTCGGGCGGTAGGAAGGGCTAAATGGTGAGTGCAAGCTGTATTATTCTCTAGGGGTTAACTAGGCAAACTGTTGGTCTGCAGAGTTTTTTTTTTTAAATAGGGTTTGGGGTTTAAGGTGAGATTGCTTGGGGAAGAAAATTGAAACAGTTCAAGAAGGGAGAAAAATCTTTAAGTAGCAGTTAAAAAATTAATATCACAGATCAACACATAATCATCAGACGAGGTGGACTATCATAGGAACTATGACAGTTGCCTGTCATAGATAGGAACTATGATAGATATGACCCACTGAAAGACATTTTCAGTCATGTTTTCATAGTCATAATTGAAACCTCTGATGCAGGAATCAGAAAGCGGTGTTCTAATGTTGGGCATATTTCCCTTGTATTTCTTTTCAATGCTCGTTACTCATCTCAGCATTATGAGTAATCATGTTTCAGTTTGCAGTGTATTTGTATTTCTTTTTAAATTAAGAGACTCCCGCAACGTTCCAACTTTCCGTCTCTGACTGGCACAGCAGGGGAAAAAAAACATCACATTTTGTGTTTATCTAAGCTATTTATTCACATTACTACAGCGTGTGAGTCTCTCATCCTCTAGTGTGTACATGTTCTTGCAGTAGTCATTGGCAGAGGTGATGGCATCTCATTGAAATGAAATGTCCACACCCTTTCCAGGGATCTGGGTTGAGATGACTTCCCCAGGTCTCACGAGTTAGGTCTGACCTGGTGAACAGAACATGGGTTGGCTTGAGTCTGCATTGCTTACTGGCATTCCCCTCTCTGTCAAATTAATCTGAAAGAGAAATAGTTACAGCAGTCCCAAACAGAGAGGGAGTCCACTATTGTCCAGCTAGATTTTGCTCCCTTGCTGTCTTTTATAAATCATTATAGACATAGCTGCAGAAATACAGTCTCCCAAATCATGTATTTGTAACCTAAGTGGTGAATCACATTTACTCTAATTAGAAATGCTCTTGTGGAATAAATCACCTGTTGTGGAGAGGATTTCATGGTACGCGGGGAAAAGAAAGAAGTGCGCCATGCTCAGGGACATGAATCTCTCATTAATCTGCTAGACATTGTCTTAAGCAGGGACTCCCAGGGGCCCTCTTCAGCACAACGCATATTGCAAATAAGTGTTTGAGAGAAGCTGTGATATTTTTTTACTTGGGCCAATTTGTACTCAGACGGAAGTATTAAAGAAGACATTTAATCTTTACTTTGCAGAAAAGCTGAAATATTAACCAACTGACACGGGAAAGGCCCTTTTGTTATGCTGTAGAAGCACTATGCAAAGTCCTCCCAGGTTAATTTAAAATTCAGCATTAGAAAATAAAAAGCATAAATGAAAGTGTTCTATTTCAAACAATATAAGAAATATCAGGAAATAGAGAAGCAGGAACTTCTCTTAACTTTCTCTTGTTTTCAGTTGCCTTACAACTGCAGTGTAAAAGACCCAGGTGCAAATTGAAGGCTTTCAGTGTTTATTAATACCCAGACAATTTTCTTTTAATGACATTCCTGCCTGCATTTTTCAACTGGATTTTGTTGGGTAGCATGATGTTTAGCAGGAATAACATATAATTGGTTGGCCATGCAATCAGCTGAGAATCTTTTGTGTTTCTTTACTTTTAATACTTGTTAGATGTAAAAGCCCTCTGACTCAAAATGCACGTGGGTTTTCTTCACTGATTACAAGTACAAATATGTGTTTCTGCACAACAGAAAATATCTAACGTTATTACTTTTCCAAATGTTCTATGCATTTCATGTTATCACAGTGAATTTCTGAATGTGCCTTTCTGCAGTATGGTATTGGAACACCATGTCTATGTTGATACTTGGATTTTTTGAAGAAAGCTTACTTCTCAAATTCTGCAGATGTTCCTTATTCTCTTGATCTCTTACCTGTCTACATAACCAATTTCTTAATTGGCTCATAATTTCATAATTCCAGTCATGAATATAGTGATTTTTGCTCAGATTTCTATGTGGTATATCTGAATATGCTTTTACATATACACATGCAGAATTAAAAGGAGAGAATGAGGATGAAGAATCTTCTGGTATTTTTAAGTTTGGGATAGTTTTAATGTGAATTCCGTATAGCTTCATAAACTCTGTCATTCTCCTGGGCATACAAATTTTCTCAGAGGTTTCTTGGGTTTTCTCCCCCATAAATGAGATAAAATCTTTCTGAGGCAAATGTTAACATTTGCAAACACTAGCACTTAGGAATAATTCTATTAAAAAAGGAACCTGCAGCAAGATAAAAACAATTCTGATTGTTTCTGAAAAATTAGAAGAGCAGCAAACCAGGCTTAGAATACCAGAATACCTACTAGTCTTGTTTTTAGGCATAAATCACTTCAGAGAACCTTTTGACTTTATAGGAAGTTTGGATCACAGGCGCTTTACATTGAGTGAATTATTCCTTTGTCAATAGAATACAGTGTTATTCTGAGGATAAGAAGAGATGTAACCAGAATTTTGTCCATTACTACTCTAAAGGAAAAGTGTAAGACTGTCCTGCTGTCCTGTAATGGCAAAGCCAAGCAAACAGACCCTTTCTCTGCTTCTTTCTTTCTTCCATTTTCAAAGTGGAAAAAAAATGGGTCCACAGTGGTGACCCAGTTTTGTTTTGGTTATTCAGTCAGATATTCTTGTGGCTCAGATAAGCATTGACTGAAGTTAGGATGAATTTATATGTGCTGACAATCATAATTTTGCTAGACTTCTCCCTCCCAGATCCCCCTAAAAGACAAGATATATTACGTGCGACACCGTAATTTCATAGATTCAATACATGAGAGGAAAATGTAATCAAGCGCCATATGCTTATTCCTTTTACAAATAACAAGCTAGATAATTTTAAAGGCAAGACAAAGACCTGGCAAAAAAGATACAAGGAGAGAGTGAGAAAACAGCAGCACCTCTGTATTTTATCATGTAAGTCAGAAGAAAGTTCATTTGAACTTCCAAAAGTCTTATTTTCTCTCTATCCAACCCTAAATGGTTTCTGAACTGAGAATGGAAAGGACTCCAGAAACTTAACACCTTGTGTTCCATTAATTAAAATTAATGTCTGGCATTCTGCTTCTGCTTTGCTCAGATTCTGTATAGAAACTTAGTAATGCCATGTTGCAGGTATTGAAAGATAGTCAGGACAGTGGACAATATATATTCTTACAAGAATAAGAATGAGTGAGTTGTTAAAATTAGAAACATTCCCTTCTGATTTAACATCACAGTATAACTGCACAATACCTGAGGTTGTTCATTTCTGCATTATGACATTGTTCTCATTGTGCACCTCAATAAACACATGCTGTTCTCAAAGTTGTTTTAAAGAAAAAAGACACAAAGCCTCTCAATCTATCAAAAAGTCATGCCTCCTTCTCAGAGAACACATGTTTATTTTTAATATAAACAGGCAATTCTTTAAAGTCAAGTTAGAAGCACTGAGACTGAATGGATAGCTGTTTCATGTTATCTCTTAATACACCAGGGTACTTCCCCCCCACTCCCTGATAAATTATAAATTTTTTTCTACTCAAGGAGGTGTATAATATAGGTAACATATTTTATAGCAGAAGGTGTGTTTTAGGAACAATATACTGGATGTATCAGTCAAAGTTCATTACTTCATTATAAATAATTTAAATACAAGCAAATTTGGTGGCTTCCTAATTAAAAACAAACAAAATGCAGAGAAAATTACTGTTTTGTTGAGAGATAGAGTAATCCTGGACAGACATCTATTACTGCCACACTATGCTATTTTCTTTTGCAGTAAATGATGCTGTCCTTGGGGCCACAGAAGGTGACATAGGTGGTGGGACTGAATTACAATCATTGAAGCAAACTTGATCCTCACTGTGACTCTTGACTTTGGGAAGTTTTCTAGAATGGACGTAGAACCAAAGAAATCACAGCTTAAAAAATGAACTACGCTGGGGTGAAAATGAACCTGAAAAAAATGATTGACTTGTCAGAAATAGCACATGAGGAATTACAGCAAGAGGTGGGAAGGTTAAAAACCAAGTAGAACAGTGCTAACAGTAATATTATATTTTTTTGTATCTTATGTGCAATACCATGTATGAAATTTATTATGTCATTTTATATAATTTTTTGTGTATATATTCTACAGCTGCACTCCAATTCTGACAAAGGTGATGGATCAGTCAAATACATTCTTACTGGAGAAGGCGCGGGGACGATATTTATTATTGATGACACAACTGGAGACATCCATTCAACCAAAAGCCTAGATCGAGAGCAGAAGACACACTATGTGCTTCATGCCCAAGCTATTGATAGACGGACAAACAAGCCGCTTGAGCCTGAATCTGAATTTATTATCAAAGTGCAGGATATCAACGACAATGCACCAAAATTTACAGATGGACCGTACATTGTTACTGTACCAGAGATGTCTGAAATGGGTAAGGAAAACAAATTGTTCTATTCAACAATATTTTAACAAGTGAAAATGCCACATACTGTTTGACAAAGTCATTACACAGTGTTGTATTGTTGGTTGTATGTAAAAGATACTACAGTTGAGAAGAGATACTAAGAAGACATCAAATGCAACCTTGTATGTTACTTGGGAAATTCATATTGAGAAAACAGTACCCACACACATGCTGACTGTAGAGGAAAGTCACTCTTATTCTTGAATGCTTTACTAGATGTGTCTGGGCAAATGGTACTTTGCACTCTAGAAGCAAGATGTATTCATCTATGCTTATTCAGCTACACTCTTTATGGCATCCTCTTATGTCTACATGAATAGTCTATGCAATTCACAGAATTAACCAAAGAAACGGTGGTTTTCTGGATTGTTTTAGACCATAGTCTCATATGTTTATTTACCTTTATTAAGTTTCTTATGAGGTGGAGTACTGATCATTGTTTTTCCCTGTTAGAAATGTATTTGAGATATTATTATTCTTGGAGGTGCTACATTGTGCAATCAGTTTTATTTATTGCTTGTCTGATGTTGAAATTGGTCTATAACTTTCCTCTAATATCACAACATCAAAGCTACATAACTAGTCTAGGATAGACAGATGGAAATATGACTTTTGTGCTAGATATTTTTTAAGACAGCTTAACTGTCATGACTGGTCTTTGTGAAATGTGTCTGCTCTCTTTTATTACTGAGTGGGCAGTGTAGATAGTTACCTCATGAACACACGCTTTTCCCTTTCTCCCCAAATCCTTACACACCGTATCTAAGAAATGACCTTCAAGGCCAAGATGTGTCGAACTTTCCCAAGTAAAAAGTGGATAATTTATTCTCCTCTCCTTTCTCTTTGTCTAATAAGCAGGTGATAGACTTAACTTCTGCAGAGTAGAATTTTAAAAATTAAAAGGGAAAAATATTGAGATACATGTAGTTACTCAACTCTCATAACAATGTTGGTCATACGTATAAGGACAAGTGACTCTTGTCATTGAATCTTAATGGTTTGTCATCAATTGATCTCTTTGAATGGTAATTATAACTCATATAAGTAGACCAGAAAATAACAGAAGTGTTTTGATCCGTACTTGAAAGTCAGATATGGTATTTTGTTAATATAATTATTTTGGATGGGAGGGTACCTTGTACAACTTTCTCGGTGTAGATAGGTGAAATTAATTCTAAACTGGGAATCTGCATTCGTTCATCTTCTATGGTACCACTTGACATTATTATGCTGAATTCAGACATGTGTGGTTGTGTCATGAGGGAAGTTTAATCTGTTTGTGGAAGTCTACATACTGTTTGAACTGCATACAGTTTCACAGTATGCAAAGGAATATTTCGTGGGGAGAGGCTAAACAGGCCAAACCCACAGCTTCCATTGCAGATATGCATAGTAAAAATAGTGCATTCCAATCACATCTATAATTCTTTCCTTGCATGTGCAAATGAAGTGTGGCATATGAAATTTGCAAACAGGTAGTAATCATACCAGTCCTGGAAAGACCAAAATATATTAAATCTCATTCCTGAACCATGGAGTTCAGAGCTGTAACAGTTTGGAAGCAAAGACACATTTTTACACCAATGGCGGCTTCATTGACCTAAGTGGCATTAATCTTGTGTAAAGTAGAGTATAAGTATTCTTTCCTGTTTACCATGCAAAATCAGATTGTATTAAATGAACTCTCAAGCTTTTAAAAGAATATAAAAAGAATTCCTCATTCTCTTTCATTTCCACTCATTTTTTACTGTCTCTTCATTCTTCTTCTCACTGCCACTGCACTGACACATAGGAATAGTTCCTTGATTTTTGTCTCTAAATGTCCATACATGATGTTATGAAAAATAATCTACCTGTCTGCATCATAATTGTTGTCTTCTAATACATTTCTTCTTCGTAGGTACTTGTAGTACCTTTCTCCCTTTGCAGTCCTCTCCTCTCTTCCAAGTCTTCCCACAGTGTTCTATTTTAGATGTCTCTTTCCAGCTGTGGAGAACTCTAAGCCTTTTTTTCCAGTGGTCCGTCTTGAAACAAGAATGCACGAAGGGAGAAACATCTTTCTTTGGTCTCCTTTTATTTCCTTCTCTCTACTTCTTTCATAGGTCGCTGTTCCCATATTACCCTTCAACTTTCCTTATATGAATGTTCTTCTTTCTACAGTCTGTTTCCCTCTAACTGGGAATTGTTACCTCATCTTTGCTTGTAATTTCTATTTGCCCCTCCTCCCACACTTTATTATAACTATTTATTAACATTATTATTTCTAATAGCCTCTTCTGTCCCTACCAGAAGAACAATCTTTATTAGCCATTCTTGTTTGGTCAGTGTCTAGCTAATAAAGATTTTCAGATTATAGTTCAAATATATTTTCATTCCTTGAAAGCATTTGCAAATTGTTCATTGTTCTTTTAAACCATAGCTTCCTCTCAAATACTGGCTTCCTTGGTCTTATCTTTTACTTCTCAGTGCTATAAACACGTAGGTCTCTCTTCTATCTACACAGTGATGCTACTGCATATAACAGGACATGTTTTTAATGTAGAATTGCCTATTTTAACCATCTAAGCATACTGTTGCAAACGTAATTCCCAAGAGAAATTTATGGAAGTACAGAAGGACAGTGTTTCTGTGAATAATGTAATAACACCAGGACTATTTAAGCATTGCACCTTTGTGGGAAGTACTACAGTACTACAGTGAGGGGATAGAGCTCCCAGTAAGAATATTGTGGGCCTGTATGGAACATCTTTGATAATTCGCTGTGGCACAAAGCTTTACTGTTAGAGTTGCAGTTCATTTCAGTAGCGTCTAAGCTCTTATCTCGGTTTTCTCTCGTCACACTGCTGACTCTCTTGATCTGAAATTCGTTTCCTTTATCGGCTGTCTCCAAAAATGCATAACTCTTGCCTTCCTCTTTCTTCAGTTCCCTTTGTCTTTAATGGAGACCATTTTAATTAATTTATTATTTCCTTCCCCGGTGTAAGCCTTTTATTTTCTGCATACGAGGAAAGACAGGGGAAAGGAAATCAATGTTCTCCTCAAAGTCAAAAGCAGCTAATATAATTATTTTTTATTTGTTCATTCTATTTATAAAAGTTCTCTTTTTTTCATCCTCTCAAAATGTGGTATTCTTACATAGATGTTTGTCATAATTCTGTAGTAGTCTGAATCTTGTTATTACTGTACAACTACATTATACAAGTTACTGTTTTCCAAAGAACAATACGAATAGTTAGTCTGGGGTGGCATTTTGGGTTATAAAACAGACTGGATCATGGTAAACCAAGGAAGTTTTAGTGATAAAATAAAGCATTAATGCATATGTTTTATAAATTAAATACTGGTTCTACCTGAGGCAAATCATTTAAATATCTTTGTGTGAATAAAATTGGATTTTCATATCCTGCAATACAGGCAGTCTGCTGTAGGCATACATTATATTTTCATTGCAAATTTATGATCATTATTTTCTTTTTCCCTTACTGATTTTTTTGTGTTTGTGGCATACTGAAAGCATTTTCTTGTCTGCAGTCTCCAAAAGACTGATTCTGTTATTGCTTCCACAGGATACATTCCTTCTGTCAAATAATGGAGAACCCTATGTCATTTTTTATCAGTTCTCTAGCTAGCATGTTTTTTAACATTTAGCTGTGGAGCCTATGCAACATCTTGTTGTTATTTTATGAATTCCTAAGGATGCTTCATTACTTAAAAAAATACTTCCACTTTTTTACATGGTCATTTAAAGAACTTTCAATTTTATCGTTTCTCTGTAACAGCCCTCATGCTGAGTGGCAGGTGGTATTTTCAATCTCCGTTATGCTGTCTAGTTTCAGCAGCAGGTTCCCGTCTGTCTCCTCAAGAAGTTAGCTGGTACTTTTCCCACAAGTTGAACCTTTCTTGATCTACTTGTAGAAACTGTGGGATCTTTATTGCTTTTCTCTTTTTAGTCACTGACAAGAAAGTATAGGTAAGTTTTGTTAAATTATTTGCCAGATAATCAGATCACAGTGTTCACTGTGGCACAAAGTGAACATATTGTTTATACTTTATGTACTATGCTTAAAGAGCTGAAAGAAAACAGTTATTCCTTGCCTTCATTGAACCCTTTTCCTAAAAGTTGGCTCAAAAACCAAGGCTTCTATCTGAAATGATTTGGTTTTTGCAGTGTAAAAATCTCAGTCTCATTGAGAGCTGTAACTATGCTCTATTTTAAGGTTTATGAAAGGGTCATCATTACCTAAATGTAAAAGGAAACACACATTTTAAATCGGTAAAAGCCTTGCATATCTGCTCATTTTCAGATAGCTTCAACATGAGTGAAATATTGCATATTAAATTTTCTAGTGTTGAGGTCATGCATTAGAAGACTATTCCAAATAAATTCTATTCAGGAAATTAATAGACAGACTGGACTTTTCTGAACTTCTTTCCAGGGTATTATAGTGTGAGCTAGTCATAATTTCTAATAATCTGAAAGACAGTATTCATGGTATTCATAGATATGATTTCTATGAGAAATGCCTGTTTATCTTCCTGTGTTGCTTGATTCTTATTTTCCAGTGAAGATGATAGCAGACAAAAACAATACTGAGATATTCTACAGTGAGGTCTTGGACCAGTAGTAGAGTCACTGGACTTAAAGTGTTGATTTCCTGGTGAAGTCAATATTTTCTAATGAAGAATGAAACTAAAACATGTTGTGTTGACTTGTTAGTGTTTTAAGACAATTTTAAGAAATAGTTTAATTAGGCAGGAAATCCCTGTGTTCGTTAAACTTTACCTTATTTTCGCTTCTTTCATTTTTTGTTCTATATTGATCCATTTGAGATTTTAACACTGCAGCAAACTATGGGAAGTCATGCAAACAGATTTGCATTCTCAACAGATATGTTTTATTGAACTGCCTCATTAAACATTAAAAATTTGTCTTCAGAGAGACAGATTGAAGTATTTCCCTTCAGCTTTTCTTTGATATATAAATTTACAAATTTTTATTGTAAACAAAAGAAGATATTTTGAAATAAAACTACAATTTGATTTCCCAAATGAAATTATACTTATTTTTGATAACAGAAAAAAGGCAAATCTTACAGAGTGGTGTTCAGAGCATAGAGACATACTTTACAGCTCTGTATAAAGCATTAGCTAAGAAAACAGAATTCCCAGTATGTAATCTCTAAACTGTAGCGGGAAATCATGTGGAATGGTAGTTGTACTCTGAATAAGCACAGCCTCGACTTTGGGGGGAAGAAGTCTTTTGTAGTGCCTAACTGGAGTGTCAGAATGCTTTCATAGCAAAATTTTAAGTTTTCCTTGACAGGCACTTTCACAGTAGATTAGTGAAGAAAATATGGAAGGTATGCCTCTGGGTCTGTTGTTCATAACTGTTCTGAGGTCTCCAGGGAAATTATAGCCTTATTATTTGTATTAGATTATTTTCTTTGAATTGTTAACATTAAAAATAGCAAGGCAGCTGTACTGTATACTTTTCCAACTAAGTCCTTCATTACATATAGCACAACAGCAAAAAATGATGCTGCGTCTGAATGGTACAAATATATGTGGAATAGTGATTTGTCTGTCATGTTGATGAGCTGAACGGTGCCAAGTTTGAAAGGAGTAATTTGAAGGTAAAGGGTACTCTCTTTACCTTTTTTTCTCACAAAGCATTCTAACCCACAGCTTTCACCAGCTGCTTTCCTCTCTGCTCAGCAAATCAGACAAGAGTTAGGCAAAAGGCCAGTACGAGTATATCTTATGAGATGCTGAGAGTGCTTGCATAATACAGTGAAAAAGTTAAGCGTCCGTCTGTTACACCACATAGCACTGATTGAGAGTTTGAGAGGTGGGGTGAGTTGTTAAATTAAAACTTGTGATTCTAAGTGTACTTTTAGATAGAGAACACTTTGCCACTATTCAATACCAAATTACTATTATCAGGTGTTTTCTAGGAGATTCACAGCTTTTCTGCCTCAAGTTTGAAATTGTTGCCAAACTGGGCTACGGAAATATATCATTATGGTATTTAGATAAGCTGAAGAATGGGGGGGGGAAATTAATTTTCTCTTCTTTGAAGTGACCTGATGTGGTTTGCAGGAACTCTTATTCTAAGTTTAGATAGCAAATAAATAGGACTGAATGGTTACCTAGAATATTTTAAGAAAATTACACTGACTTTAATCCATATTTGTTTACCTTGTCACATAAACCCAAATAATGTAATTTAGTCAGGTTTACCATTAACTTCTGAATAACTATGAACAGACTACTAGCTCCAGCTTGGTTTTATTACAACATTCAACTTAAATTCATCAAGGTGTCCTTATACCTGCTGTGTGAATGTATTTATCTATGAGACTGTATGCGTTCGGGCTATTCAGAGACCACAAGACACTATATTTAAGTATGCAGACACGTTTGCTGTACCTTTTACTAAGTCTCCAGTAGAGATACAAAAAGCAAGTTTTGGTGTCCAAGTTAGTATGGCACAAATGAATTAATACATTCTCAAACAGTGACGAATCCAAATCTGCGAATATTTGCATGCTGGCTTTGCTGTACTCCAAGTGAGACCCCCATCATCTTAGGTGTTTCTGCTCCCAATGTACACTGAAGATGCACACGCTAACAAACACTCCTGCACAACAGAAGGGGATCTATGAAGTTAAACAGCGGGAACAGAGGATCTGATGTCCACGCCATATGTTTTTGGGAAGTCTTATTTCAGACTAGCTCTCATCTGGTCTCTGAGACTAAATGCCCATTAGCTGTCAGAATAAATCAAATGTGCTGCTAAAGCACATCTTCTGGTTTAGTTTCATCCAAAGGAATCTGGTTACCGTGCTATGAAACTGTTCCATGAGGCAAATCAAAGTACAGCAAGTCAAGGAGATGAAGGGATTCAATTCAAAAGCACACTTCTCTTCACAACTAAAACGTGAAATTGAACGCCCCAGAGTGGAGGTGATGCCTCTGTGGTTAATTTGACTGAGAAGCCACTTTCAGATTCAGAATTACATGAGAGAAGCCTGTTCTGTTGTTATTATTCCTGTATTTTAATACTGGGCCAAAGGAGCCTTGTAGAAAGCAGCGTCTGTGGAAGGATAAACAAGTGGGATGAAGACTGAACTTTTATTAACTTGCTAATCTTTCGTTTACTGACTTCTTACATGAAGTGTTGGGCAGTGGTACCAGTAAAGATTCATCAGTAAGTGTCTTGAAAAATACAGTAAAATATAAAATCACTTGTATCTATTCTCTCTGTGCATTTTATTTTCTGCAAAGTGTTACTCATAAGTTATCCCACTTAGTGACATGCTAGAAACTGTGCTTGTATTTTTCTAATGGTATTTACTAACGGCATACAAATATTTGTATTTTGAACTCCTTGTCTTTCTAATTTGGAATCATCATTGGGATTCCAACAAGAATCTACTAGTTATTTTTGATTCCCTTGGTATCTTTTATTGATTTGATGGTGTTTATGCAAATTAAATATGCACTTCAACATTAATTTGTATTGTGGATGAAGATAATCCTGTAGTCCATAAATATGAGTTGTTCAGAAGTCTAAGCAATATCCAAGTTTGGGGTCTATGTGTGTGAACATGCATAAATATGCATACTGTGTCGTTACTATCTGTGTTTATATATAAGTAATTACATTACATATACATATATAGAGAGAATGAGAAAAAAGTTTTTTCAAGTGAGTATAAATAGTTTTCCTTAAAAATGTGATAGGATAATAACATACAGATAAAATGTCAGTAATCTCCCAGTTTTGGAATGTGAGGACTGTAGAGGTTTCAAAAATGCATCTAAAAATACTTACATTTGTCAGAAAATTGTATTTTTTATCAAGTAACTTTTATTTTCCTGTATGTACAGGTACGTCTGTTCTACAGGTGACAGCCACAGATGCAGATGACCCTACATATGGAAACAGCGCCAGAGTAGTGTACAGTATTCTTCAGGGACAGCCATATTTCTCTGTTGACCCTAAAACAGGTGGGTATTTTATATTTCTGTCAGTGTGATTTGGCTAACGTGTTGTAGTTAACAAAGTCTGGTAGATGAAATACAATTAACAAAATGCAGGTGGGGGGAATTTTTTTTTTTAATTCCTGTTATATTCCTTCTCGCTTTAACGCTATGAAATTTAGGAGTTACTATGTTTTGCTGAGCCTACTGTGTACAGAATTAATTATGCATCATGCTATGATGTGAGCCATTCAGCCAAACTAGAATAGCTCTTTTTCACCTTTTCAAGCCTCTGTTTAGGAAGAGACTCAAGTGTGCCTAACACATGATTTTAAATGCTTTGTTTTGCCTGAAGGATAGGCTTGGAAGGATTATTGAATGTGTGCTTCAACACATTACCATAACAAATCAATATCATTCTTGTACTTATAAAACTGCAGTGTTGCCATTTCACTGAAAATTTATTCTGTGATTCAAGAAGTAGAATGAGATAAACTATTTATGCTTAAACTCTGTGCATTGCCCTCCTTTTTTTCCACAAAGTGTAAGTTATGTATAATGAATCCAAACTGATTTCTTTAAAGAGAGAAGAAACGTCTTTTGGGGATGGGGGTTGTTACTAGTTTTGGATTTTCTGAAGAGCATTATCTTAAATATTAATATGATGGTATTTTTTTACTATACATTCACAGTCCTTAATAATGAGGAAATAAAATTTAAGAAAGTACTTTTTTCATCTGAATTTGTACCTGTTTTTCCCTATCTATATCAAAGTTTTAATAATGAGGGGAAAGAATGAAATATAGTGATCCCTACACTTAACTGTAGGGAAGAATAATATTTTTTTAAATGTGCTGAAGTGATTTAAGTGTAGTGTAAGTAGTTTGCATTGTAATGTTTTACATTTTAGTGCCTTTGCTTGTGTACATTAATCTCTGCAGAACTTGGAGACATATGCTTGCTTTATTACAAGAGAAGGGTATCTATGTCATCTCAGCTAGCTTTGAGGTTAGGTCTGCTTTGAGTAGGAGGCTGGACTTGACCCCCAGAAGTCTCTCTCAACCTAAATTATTCTATAAAATTATGAGCTCACATTAGCAAGACAAAGTGCAAAGCCTGACAGGATCATGTTGGAGGCCTATATAAGCTGCTGAGAGGCAAACCTGATGCAGGCCTGTTCATACATACTGTGTTTCAGGAACAGCTGCCGGCACACACCTTACCCAGCCATGTGTGAGTACAGTCTGGCAGAATACTGGCTGGTACAGGCTAAAACCCCTCTGGGAACAACTAAGAGGTACGGAAATATCAGTGGTACAGTGCTCTGGCTCTCTCTGCCCTTGTTTTACCTCAAAATACAACCCTGGTCTACATTTCTACTTTTGTTTTAGCACTCTGAGGCAGTGGTCTATATTTTTTTTATTTTTATAATGGTATGCAACTTGTAGTCTGGAGCTGCTCTTCAGTCAGTGAAGAATCATAATGGATGTTCTCAGTATCGGGTCTGTATCGCAAAAGAAAATACTGTTGTTATATCACTGTTTGTATGTTTAAAGAAAGCAGATTGGAGTGTATTTTCACTCCCCAAGCCTTAGGGTTTGACAAGGATTTAATGAACTTAAACTGTTTTTAATGTGTATAGAATGTGCAAATGATTCTGAGACCTTAGTCTATTGAAATGGCAAAAGAATAAATACTTAATGAGGTAAGTAGACAGTGAAACAGTGAAAAAACTGGAGAAAGATTTCTGATTTGATAAGTTGTCTTTTTATAATTCCAGAATAACAGTTAATTTAATTTGGCATGATATAATGGGAAGAAGTAGAATATTGGAAATTATGGGAAAGTCTTGAAGAATAAAGTGTTTCACTATGAAATTTCGCTTCGAATTTCTAGGTTTTAAGACGCTCATTTTCTAAAAACGTCACTCTTCTGAATTTGCAAGCACTTCTGTGACATGTTTTTCCTAAGGCTTGAATTGTTGTATTCCATCTTAATTATATTTTTTCCAGCAGTTTTCTGAATTTACGTTGATATGCACAAATTTTCTTTACAAGAAAGAAGGACCAAAACAGGGAAAAAGACAAAGAGAAAGGTCCCAACATTCAATACTGAATGTAGTGTTTGTGAAGCCTGAGGATCTTCTATGGCTATCATTAAAGCTTCTTGGAGCTATCAGATGCAGACATCAGGCTGTTCATAGCTCTAGTGTGAATACTCATCTTCAGAAGTCCTCTGCTCCTACTTTAGTGCTGCCTAAACTTGGTTTTAAATAACTTACTATCTGAAGACTTTAAAATCATGAATTTTTAGGAGCTTAGTGTAGAATAGTTTAAATAGGATTTTAGAATTCATACATTTAAAATGTAATAGTGGGCCAGCACCAAGTTACAAACTTCGAAGTAAAAAAAGCCATGTTCTTGTCAGAAAAACATCTTTGTTAGCTTATCTGAGAAAAGGCTCATCTGTACACAGGAAAGGAGGGCAGAGGTGCAGCGCTGGGAGAGTAAACCCCCTGCCCTAATAGATGCTCGAGCCTGGGCTCACCCCGGGGCTGTCCCAGGACAGCCTCAGCCCCATGGGCCAGGGCTGAAACCCAGCATGAGGAGTCAACAGGAGATGCTGCCCTGACCACCCTTCGTGCTAGAGGAGCTGCTGCCTACAGTGGTATGGGACACACTATTTGGGTGGCGGGAAGAGCATTACGGTATTGTACTAGATTTATCCTGGGATGTTTAGAAGAAGAACCACAGGCGAGGAAAGGGAGCGATTGAGAGGGATTAGGGAGGAGGAAAAAAAGGAAAAATAGAGGGAGAAGGGGATAAAAGGGGACGGTCCTGTGTAAAAACAGGCTTTTGCTCAGCACCGTTGTCTAGTTGTGCCCTGTGCTTGGTCAGCACAGCCTTTCCTGTTACCTTCTTATCCTCCTGTTTTCCTGAGCAAAGGTTCTCTCTGTCTGTGTGAGTATGTGTCTGGAGGTTTAAGTGCCAGCAGCTGGAGCTGGGCCATGGGTCAGAGGGTCGTGTGTGTCTGTCGCGGCATCAAAATGAGTGTACAGAGCGTGTGCGTATTGCACGGGTGTGAATGTCAGTGTGGGATCACTACCCAGTGTCCGGCTGGAGTAGCCGGTGAGTCGGATGAGTGGCTTGTGTGCCAGGTATCCGTGTTGCCAAAAGTCTGGCCCAGATACTGGAGAGACCAGAGGGTTCACGAGTCACGCGTTGTAGGGACCCAGAGGTGCAGACTGACGCTGGGCGCGACTGTGTGCTCTGGGGGTTGGCCGAGAGCCCTGTTTGCGTCTGTGTCTCTGTGCACGAGGCAAGGGGAGACCAGGGAGCCAGGAGCCAGCTCCTGGATAGCCTGGCTGTCAAAGCCAGCACCGAGAGCCCGTAATGTATATGGGGGGGGTCAGCAGGCATGCAAGGTAACTGGGAGGCTGGAGGTCCAGGGCCAGTTACTGGATGTGCTTGGTGTCTAAGGCCTGTTACCGGGGGATCTATGGTGGGTGGGGGTGACTGAGTGTGTCCAGGGTTAAAAGGGGATCTGTACCAGCAGCTGGAGGGGAGCTGCGGGCCTCGGACTTGTATGTCCAGGAGCCAGCGAGCGACAAGACTGGGGACCCAGGTGCCAGCTACCGGATAGACCGAGTGTCTAAGGCGAGTTACAGGAGGGATCCATGTTGAGTACATGTGTGTATTTCCGACTAAACAGTCCTTCCTCCTGATCAGCCGGAGGAGGATGAGGCTGTGCCGTTCGTGTTTCAGTGCTGAGTGTTTCTGTCAGCGTGTCGCCCGCTGCAGGTATGTGTGGCCTCTGCGTGTGTGTGAGCCTCCTGGGAACACACACTCAGCCCACTGCTGCGTCTGAATCACAGATTAAAAACAGGGAGCTGCAGCAACCTCACCCCCATCAGGCTATCAGGTTTGGCATCTCCTAACAACCTTTAGTTTTTCAGGTGGCTGGCTCTAGGGCCTGTGTTTTGTTGGTTTGCTTGTTTGTTTTTCCCTTGGGATGGAAGAATTGTAAACTCTGTTTGTGCGTAGAAATTTGCTGCAACAATGTTGTTAATAACTGTGAATATCAGAACTCCTCTCCATGCATAACATAAATGTAAGTTTTTCAAAATCTGTTGAATTTGATGGGCTTTCTAGGAAGTGTTTTGCATTTGTGTTTATTAATTACTTCTAGTAATTAGCTGTGGGATGTAATAGTAATTAGCTATGTAATTAGTAATTAGCTGTGGTAGTCTGTGTGGGTTCTTATTTGCTTTCCTCCCCAATTGCAGCAAAATACTGTGCTGAATTTTTATAAATAAGTATGTATTAATAATGCTGATGAAAGAGAAGAAGTCAATGTCGAGATCCTAGGTGTTTTTGCAAAGATTATGTGTATAGGATTATATGATTTTTTAAGTCAAAATATTCAGGGAACCCCAGAAAACATGAGTCGCTTATCCTTTTAGAGTACCATTAACCACACTGTAAAAATAAAATATAAAAAAATTAAGTTATCAGTGAAGAGTAGAACAAATAATTTATTAGTATTCTTAGTATTTTAATATGTGC